TTTTCCGCTTCCACGCAGGCCGGAAAAGTGCCGCTTATGTTTGATTCACGTGAACTAACGTGCAATTCCCGTGAGATTGTCCCTGACACTTACAATTAGATGTTAGAACGAGTACAACACAGATATGTACGGGAGGAGACCGTTGCTTTTGTAACTCTTAATTAACAATGTTCTCCACGAGGCAACCAGTCGCGCTAATTATTTCCATTTCGGTAGTCAGATAATCACTTGCCTCTAGTTACTCTAGAAACCTTCTTACCTGCGACTGATCAATCGTGACGATATATAATACATATCGAATGTACAGTTATGCAATAGTTCACCGACGTGTGCTCGTCTCTAGGATTATTTTACACACGGCCCGTGGTACGAATTGTAGTAAGTACGATATATTTATCGTTCATAGAAGTTCATAGCGCAAACTTGAATTACTAGCTTTCGATTGTCAAGGTTGATATATAACGTATAATGTAATAGGTACACGTGTGATCGTGTATACGTGTGTGTTTTCAGCTGGATGTATGTGTATGAGTGTAATATATATGTTCGTCGTACATGAGTAGACGTAGACGTTAAAATAGTGTGAGGCAGACTCGAGTCACGCTCCAGTTTCAAGGTGCTATTGTAGGTGTATATTGTAGAAAAAATCGCAATTTCTCTCTATTCAAGTGCGTCTAGATTCATTGTAAGACAACAAGCTTGAGCCCCTCGTCGGCTATCAGAAGACTCAGAAACACGCGAGAAGTATGAAGCATAGCGTGTAACGTGAGCAGTTTAACTCTTTGCTCTCTAATTAGCGATATAATTAGAATATTAAATTTCTTTAGATTAGCAATATTGTTTTGATGTTTAAATTTCTAATCAAACGCACTGATATATGCATCTTATCTCGAGAGAAAATTTAATCGTTTCCATTCTAATATTCTTTAAATTGAATGTATCTGAAAGTATTTTTTTTTTCCACGATTAATCCACGGTAATATATAGAAAAGCTAATATCTCGTAGAATATAAAAGTCCTATTCTTGATACTTTTTGAAAATTTATTGCGCTACTTTCGTGTGGATTTTTTTGACATCCTTAAACGCGTAGACGACGCTGCATCTGATACAACTGACTAATCGTAAAACGATAATTCAGAGAGCAAAGCGTTATTTCTAACTTGACCGTTGCGGTCAAGTCGTTGACGTTAATGAATTGGAACTAGTGTCCTTATAAGGTGTAGATTCTCTTGATTCTCTTGATCTTGCAAGTGCTGTGTATATTTAGTAGTAATATTTATAGTAGTATAGTCACAAGAGAGAATAAGAAGCGTCGAATAGTGGTAACAGTAATTATGTTGTCGATAATGTTAAATAGCAATCGTAGTAGTAATAGTAGTAGCAGTAACGGTAGTATTAGGTCACTTTGAAGGCTAGTAGAAAACGTGCCTAGAACGCGCTCAGCTACTTACGAAGGAGAAGTCTTCCATTTTAAAGTAGATAATTGCATCCGTACGAGAGGATTGTCCATGCGATAATCTTCGTATGAGGAAACTTTCGACGAAGATTCGCACGCACAACGAATGTTGCGTCCGCACGAGAATTAATTCGTTTTCTTTCTCTCATTTTCTCTCTCGCCGAAAGTTTCACCTCGACTCTCTTTTACCCTTGCCACGAATATCTCGTTTCGTTCTCGATATTTGTCCACGTTTGTACTGTCTAGTTACGATAGTTCATTACGATTATCTTGAGGTTGTTGCTTCCTTTTGCTTTTACACCTCAAATGTAGCCCATTACGTTTCGTAACGGAAAATGAATCGACGATTTCGAATGTGTAAGTAGTTATTTTTCATTAACTCATATTCGAGTATTCGAGATGTTATGTAACAGCCCCTTATATCGAATATAAGGTATCATTAAGAATTTACAACTCAAAATATTATACATTAAATATTTTATATTTCGTTCGTGGATGGTAACGCGGCAATTCGAATTCAGGCTGCTCGCGGTATTCGTGACGTTCGGATATATTTCTAGGCCAATTATAGACTTCCCTTCGTGGGAACACGATCGTCTTTCGCGATACGTCTGACTTAGCCCTCGCAAAGGCACAACCGTCTCGTTATGACTCTTGCGGTAAGACACGTAATTTGCCGTTCGTGGCGAGAGACCGATGAGAAGCGATTATATCGACAAGAAGTGTGAACAGCACAACCATAGTTAAGTGTCTCTTCGGCCACACTGCCTCCACGCTCTGTGTTTTACGTTAAAAAGTTACTTTCTTCGTGTGCTCGGGCACTCGCGATTCCGCTTTGCACGTCTTTTCGTTCGCAATTAAGTCTTCCGTTTTCTCAGAGATTACCAAGGAATCTTAGTCGCAAGACGTCCTAATTACTCGGGCCTCGAATGAACGAAAGTTCTCGCAAGAAGTCAAAACCTTTTGCTATTTTAGATTCGACCTTTACAAACAAGAGCACAATCAATGAGAATACACGCGAGAGATGAAACAATGATTAATAATGCAATCGTAAGTGAAAATTGCAACGTGTATATATCGTCGTTAAAAATTTCGTTTCGACGTCGACTTGCGAAAATAAATCTTCGATTGCACTTTCGTTGACATCCCTTAAACATCTACGTCGTTTAACACCGAGTTTAATGATATGGGACAGCGACACCGTATTATCCTTATCATTACCGTATTATCATTATCGTTTAAACACATGTACATATTTTGATTATCCTTCGTTTACAGTTCTTTTTTTTTTGTTTTCGCAAATCGTAATCACATATAACACGTATCTACATATCGATATACATAGATACGCTATATATTATTACACTGTATTGTTATACACGTATTTAAACGATACATGTATATATACATAGATGTGCATGTACGCATGTCTCGCGGGCGGTCGATCTTGACGCCGTGAGATTACCGCTATACACGCACACGTTACATCGCTTAACTTATTGTTAGGATATCGCCGCGTTTCTCCTCCTTCGCGCACGTATAAGCGCGCGCGCGCGCGCACACCACACTCGATTATAATAATAAATCCGTAAGCTTCAATCTCGTTAGACGTAATTTATGGATCATCGTGAGGGTGCCATTAATTAATTCTATATGGTATTATCACGTTTATCACCTATCGCTAATTACTCGGGCGGGGTAAGCGCAATTAATCCTGGACAATTCCTACCTAACCCGGTCGCGGGACACTGTGGGATTTAAACATTCACAATAACGCGCCCCGAGGATCACCGTGTGTGCTACGAAGCCGCTGGTTAAGCTCGAAGTTGAAATTTCGCGCGTAAAACGTTTTGTCACTGGCCGCACTCTGCGGCCGATCGCGACAATTAAATCGATTCGCTTCGCGGAACCGTCATGATCCTCGGGATGCCGCGCGGAAACGGGACGTCGATATTAGATCTGAGAAACGTCGAGGGAATCCGCCTATATATATGTCCCGCTATCAGTCTACGAGCTACAAAAATTGTGCGACTTCTAAAACACCGAGTTTCTGGTTGGTTGGTTATTATTCAAGTTGGCTGCAAAGTTACACTGCCGTCTAGTCCGCTCGTCTCGCCACCCCCTCGCTAAATTGCTCTTTTTGCCGACGGCTCGGCCAGCGAGCCTCGGAACGATTGTCTACCGTTATATAGTTAAAGCAATTAACATCGATCGAGGCACTCCGTGCGATTCGAGCGTTCCCTATTTTTTCGCTCTTTTGGCTGGACGCGGGCTTTGTGTCTAAAAGAATTTTCCAAAATTTTCACAGTTCACAGATGAAAGTTTAGGTGTTGACAGTTTTTTTTGTTCTACAACCTGCGATTTTTTCGTGACAACGCGGTTTACGATTTGCAACGAACCACAATATAGATAGAATATTTTTAGAAATATGCATTTACATACGTGAAGATTTTCTTTTTCAAGATAAATTTAAAGCGCCGCCGCGCTTTCCCCCGCACACGCGATCGATAAAATTAGCCGGATAAAAAAATGGAATTTTTCCTCCCAAAAGTTTTATGAAATAAAATTCGACTCGATATACGACTCAGGATTATATGTTAATCACGATCTTGCGTTTCAAATCGTGTGTCTACGTGTTAAACAGAAACAGGAAACACGAATCTCGGACGTGTCTCATCGACATGGGAAGGATCAAGCAGGCATTGTTGATCCTCTAGTATCGATATTTGAATCAGCGCGTACGAAATCCGATCGAATCACTGACTGGATCAACCAGATGAGGCCGCCGTGGGCGGCGGATGTCGATCGGGCTTCGCTTCGACGCAGTCGACGTTTTCGTCGATATTTTCCTCGCTTCGGGAAAAATGGACCCTCGTCATCTCATCAGGATACATGTTACCAAGATACGTGGCTGCCACTATCACCGTAGTTAATCGCCGAAAAATAATCTCTCACTCCCTCTATACGTCTCTCCTTACATTCTCTCTTCGTTCTCTTTATATTGTACTCGGTTGCAAATGTCGTCTGACACTTGCTGACAGGTACACCTTTATCGCTAAAATCACCGCGAATACTCACGAGGTATCCGCGGATCTCGAAAGGCGCTAATCGAAGGAACTCAGTTCTTTGAAAGTTATCTTTTGAAAGCGTTCTTCTTCCGACGACGAAACGCGGTGACGGTAACGTCGTTCCATAAGAGCAAGTTGAAAATATGGTAGATGCGTGTTCTTCCTTTTTACGTCTTTACGATTCTCAAAATTGATTGTCTTCTTGAACTGTATGATAAAACCATCTGAAGTTGATTGTCTTCCGGTTATACACGCTACAGGTGATTAGCGATTTTCCAATCGGCTCTGTCGCGCATAATGTGTGATCGATCTTTCCGTGTTGATGGCTTTTGCCAGAGATTTTATCATTTCTCTCGATAACTCTTTCAATTTCATCATTTGTATTTTAAAATATATGCTAGTTCTCTCTCTCTCTCTCTCTCTCTTCTATTTCTCTCTGACATTAGCTAATTTCTAATCTAAAAATATATCTGCCTCCATTATTTGTTTTCGCGCAAACATCGACAAATAATAATAATAAAACGTTTAATGATCAGATATCTCTTCTTCAATTCTTTCTTCCGCTATGGAAAGTAGAACTAACATAATAAGACCGACATGCACAGCGCATTGCTACTGATCAACTGAATGGAAGGAACTTTTCCACGCGATTGAATCCGCGCACGCTACCGTGAAGATAGAACTCCCGAGTTACGATTGAGAAGCCGTGAGAACACGGAGAGATCGAGGGCACGACCGCGCGACGGCGCAAGTTTCGCTCGCCTTGTGGAACAACGCGCGTTTCGTCGCATCATTCACAGACTTGCGATAATAAAAAGAAACGCCAGTGTCTCGAGGAGATCGAGATCGTGCCGGCGGAGTCGAGCCAGCGAGCGTGCTCGTACGATCAGCCACCATTTCCATCAAGAGATGATCTTGACGACGGACTCGCCCTCGTCTTTGAGCAACAGGCTCAGTCTGAGGTCGAGCTCGCCGGCCTCTAGGGCCCACTTTTCCCTTAACCATCATGGCGAGTCCGCGTTTTGCGTGCCGAGGGTGTGGATCGGGAAGAGCGGGTACCAATCGATGGTCATTTGCGTGAGCGGCAGAAGGTCGAGGTTTACCTCGGCGCCACCTAATCCCTGATTGCTCTCGAAGCCTTGCTTCTTCTCCCACAACATTACCAGCAGGTCCCTGCCCAGCGCATCGCAACTGCCGTACTTGAGCGTTTGGCGGTACTGCGGGCTCTTCGAGTGTCGTATCACGCGAGTCTTGCGTTTTTGCAGCCATCTCTCGCCGTCGCGCAAATACGTCTTCACGTAGGTGTCTGCGAAAGACAAGCCTTGTCAATAATTCGTGAACTTGAAAAAGATATCCGGAAGATCCGATTCTATTCGCGAAAAGCTTGAAACTCTTGAGCGACCCACCCAGCTTATACATTTGTATGTGCGTGCGAATTTTAAAATTTAAATTGAATTGTAAAAAGAGAGTTTCCTGCAGTTACATTTTTGTCTGCGGAGAAGCTCTTGAATTTCCAGTAATTTGTGCCGGCGGCTGTTATTCGCGTACAATGTTAAAATTATTAAAGGTATTTTAAATAGCGGAGATAGATACATATTATCGTCGTGTTAGATCTCGTGAGATTTTCCTCGCAGAAGCGAGCTAATTGAATCGCGAGTTCATCTGTTTTCATTCCCGAGACATTTATAAACGACGTTGCATTTTGGTCTTGCCGCAGATTTACGTTTGATACAGAGACTAACGACAAGCTGACGAATGTAGGTCGTCGCGATTAACGCGTGCGCGTACGCTCGCCCACACGAAAATTTGTTTCTAAATGTTAAATAAATGCATGAATAATCAAGGCAGAATGGCACAGTATAAACGTGTAACGTTGGCAAATTAACGCAAATTAGCGCGAGGATACGATGGCCAGATGGTGGGATATATCTCGACTACGGTGCTACGTTGTGAGCAATTTTATAGTAGCCGTAAACAGGCGAGAGCAACTCGAATGAGGGAGAATTAGCGGCAAAGGGACGGCACGCTCCTCCCGAATTACCTGGCTCCTCCTTCTCCCCGGGACAAATGCCTCTGGCGCAGATAACCTCGACCTCGAGGGTTCCCTTGCAGAGAAAGAAGCCTAACTTCACTTCGCCGTTATGCGCACCTGCAACATTGGCGATTGCAGTCAGAGAAATATCGTGTTCAGTTGAACACGACGCGATATCTTTTACAGATTAAATAAACCTTCTCGAAGCTTTGTAGATTAAAGCGAAAACGTGGTGTTCATTCTGCGTCGAGTAGAATTACTGCAATCGGATATGTTCTAAGAGAGATCGAGCGTTACCGAGTTAATACCGCGCTTCGAGTGACGAATACTTGAAGCAGGAACAAGACAACGAAAAGGAATTATTTTATTTTATAATAGTAAGGCTACATGCGGATATTTTTTACCACTGATCATTTTGTAGCCCTTAGGCGGCACCTGTCCGCAACCCAGTTTTATGTCGACGCCATTTTCATTTCCCGCCGACTGACTGTAATAACAAAAATTATGTCACACAGGTACGATTAAATATCGCTTAATGGATGGCTCGACATGTAGTATTAGGTGTACAAGTAAATAATTCAAATTATTTTAAGCAGTTATGAAATCAATTTTAAATTGAATAGATTTTCCCGCTCTTTTGTGATTATGCAATGTTGACATATAGCTGTTAAAAAGAACATATAGTTTGACGAAAGGCCCAACCCAACATAACCTTCAAAAGTATTCAGTTCAGTACAGTCGAAAATGGCAACAGATAAGGTGCATATCCGACACTGCATTCTTTACGGATTCCAACAAGGAAAAAATGCTGCAAGAGCGTGCGAATCGATTTGTTCCTTTCTCGGCGAAGGTGTTGTATCGTACGATGTGTGCGCATTTTGGTTTAAGCGGTTTAAAAGCGGTAATTTCAGTCTAATCGGCAAACAACGCCCTGGAGGCCCTCCGAATAGGCGATAATGATGATTTGGAACAACTGCTCGCTGAGAATTCGGCACAAACACAAAAGGAGCTTGCAGAACAGTTGGGAGTAACGCAGCAAACGATTTCCAAATGCCTACATATGAGATGGGAAAGATCCAGAAAGAAGGAAAATGGGTGCCTAACCGCATAAACTCACTGAAACCAACAAAAATCAACGAGTGGCAGCGTGTCTTTCTCTTCTCAATAAGCAGCGTCGAAAGTCTTTCTTGTGGAAAATCGTTACGGGCGATGAGAAATGGATACTCTATGACAATCCGAAACGCAGAAAGTCATGGATAAATCCCGGAGAATCATCAAAATCGCTCGCAAAACCCAATCGCGTCGGAAAGAAGGTTCCTCTCTGCATTTGGTGGGATATCAAGGGCGTGCTTTATTATGAGTTGTTGGAACCGGGTGAAACCGAGTTACTGCGCGGACTGCTACCAACGTCAATTAATCTACTTGAGTCAAGAATTGGAACGAGAACGCCCGTATACTGGCAAAGGAGAACGTCCAGTGAAATTGTTGCATGACAACGCCAGGCCATACATTGCTTCCAATACAAAAGACACCATATTGGAGTCTTGGCTGGGACATCTTGCAGCACTTGCGGCGTATTCACCAGACATTGCTCCATCCGATTAACACTTGTTCCGGCCGATGCAACACGCCTTGTCCGATCATGCACTTCCAATCAGTGGATGAGATCCGAAAATGGCTTGACGACTTTATCGTGTCCAAAGACGTAACATTTTTCCGAGATGGAATTCATCAGCTGCCTGAAAGATGGCTTAAAGTTATAAAAAGCAACGGCGAATACTTTGATTGAACAATTTAATTTACTTTCTTTTAAAATAAACCTTGAATGTAGCTGAAAAAATTGGATTATTCATTTGTACACCTAATATAATACAGTACAGAATTCCCGTCCGTTTCTCCGCCATCGAGCGCGCGATGATTGAATCAGAACGTCGCTAACGCGCGACAACACAAAGCATAATTGATGAATCGATAATAGACACACCGGAAACGCGAATAGAATGGAATGATTGATTTATTTCGACTTGCCACGAAAGATTGATCGCCGTACCTCCATTTTTCGTCCTCGTCGGATTCGCTGTTTCTATCGTAAAATCTCTCTGGAATCTCCATGACGCTGTCTTTGCGCTCACCCCGCCCTACGAGTTGAAAAATATCTCTTCAGATTATTTATCGTGGATTAAACTGCAATCTGCGTGTCGTTGCCGGAGCGAGTGAGATATTCTTGCTAGAACAAAGTTCCGAGCAATGATGCTTGCGAAACTGCGGATTAATCTGTTTCGTGACGGCGACACAGATTGCAGTTGAGTTGTTATTGAGAGAGAACAATTTACACCTTGCCAATCAGAAGAATCAGCTCTACAGGCTTGTCCTCTCAACTTTAATTTTGCGACAGGTTTCTGAGAAAAGCTGCCTACTATACGGACAATACGACATCTGCGAAGCGCTTTCGGTCGTATAAATTTCAGTGATTCGGTATGATTCGATTATAATTTCCAATAGTTTGTTTATACGTCAACGTGACATCTTTCGGCGATGGTATATTTTTCAAAATTTATACTTTGAACATCTTTTTATACGACAATATAATACCTTGAGACCTTGTCTTGAATCTCAGAATGGCATTTTGAATGTAAGTAATTGTAAAAATGCTAGACTGATTGTGAATCTTTCTTAAAGAAGGGATTAAGATTGAATATTGTCTTGGCGAGTCTCTAAAGTAATGTTACCAAGGCAATAATATTATCAATTCTAATAATAGACACTCGAAATCTCTGTGGGAACAATTCAATCGTCGCTGGCGCAGCCCGAATGGACCGAATCGTGAAATTCAACGACCGAAGCTTCCTGAATTAGATAGATGTTATATACTAATAAGATCCAAACGCGCGTTCCTCCTACATAGAGAGAAGTAAGATACAAACTTCGACTCCAAAGTATCAGAGCGATAGCGGGGAGTTTCAACTCTACGAAGAGGAAAGTTCGGTCTCGAGCTAGCTGTAATAAGATAATTAGAGAAGCTCGGGGAGAGCCAGTAGTAGTTCGGCCCTTTCGGTTCTTCTGTTAACATATGCCGCCAGCTAAGGCTTCTTGTTATATTTCTCACGCTTACGTTGCCTCGTTGCTCGTCACAGCACACAAATCACTTTTTTAATCACGAGATGCTACTTAACTGCAAAGCTTCATTAATTAACCGTTAAGTTCACTTCGACAATCGTGAGCACACGTCTGCGCGGCAAATGAAATTTTTCGGTAATTTTTCCCACTGCCTTTTTCCGTTAGAAAAGTCGTTAGAAAAGAACCACTGTAATATTGGTTGTCTGACACGAAATAATGCATCTCGTAGTTCCGCGCGTAAAAAGACGACTTTTTATCGCCGCGAATATCTCTGGTCGTAACAGTTTCCGGCGTTTTCAACGCGTTATTCGATTTTTCTCTTTATG